GCCGAGAGGCATCAAAAACTATATGACAGACGAGACGGAGTCTGCGCTTGTCGGTCGCTGTGTCGGCTGTGAGGAGCTTGAAAAGCGAGTACAGACGCTAAAAGAAAAGCAGGGCCATCATTATGGCTTTTCTAGAGCACAGTAGAATAGAATTACCAAATAATCCGCCAAATTTCCGATCGATCGGCGACGAACATCCTACTAATAAAGGCACTAGCGCGGAAAAGTCAAAGCCTGTCAGGAAGAGGAAGCGAGTTATGTCTCCAGAGGAAACTCTAGACAAATCAATTCCGGTGGATAACGTGGCGGTCGACACTAATGCATTAAAAATAAGTCAGGTTCCATTACCTGCTATAGTAACTAAACCTGACAAATCATCGAACACTAAAGTTGGGAAAGCCAGGGTGGCCCTCAGAAGATCTGCTAGTAACTACAAGGACTCGCCGTTATTCTTGGAAGGTAATGCTGTTACTCCCCTTCTTCACAAGGCTAACTCATCTGGAAAGTGCCCTAGCCATTCCGTTTATGGAAAAGGACACGATAAGCCTTCGTGCAGTACATTGCAGCGAGATAATTATTGTAAGAGCTCCACTGCCGGAGCAAGTACGTCACATGAAAATCCATGCCCTAAACTCCCTTCGCCGGCCGAAAATCATACAAATGTCGAAGTGACAACAGCCGTCGGGAATACTACAGTAGCATTATATCGTCCTAGCGCGGACGGGACAGTAATGAGCTCTTCCATAAATCGTAAGCAAAATATTGTCATAAGCGGCGCCCCAGAGTCCACATCCTGCACTCTGCAGGAACGAGTTACGCACGACCTAGACCTTCTCCATCATTACGTCAGTGCCGTCGTGAAGGATGAGGAAATATTCACCGTTAAAAAAGCTTTTCGACTAGGCAGAGCGGACCCAAATCGTGACCTAAAAACATCCCCAAGACCCCTGAAAGTTATTTTGGAAAACGAAGCCCAAGCAGCGCTTTTGTTAGAAAGTAGAACGACCTTACGCAATTCGCACAAGGAAGTGTTTTTTCAACCAGACTACGAACCGAGGGAAAGACTGAAAATGAGAGAACTGAGATCAGAATTGAAGGAGAGAATTGGCAGAGGAAAGAAAGGGCTGAAGATCAAAAATGGACAAATAGTCCAGACAAAGGGGTCTTTCCTGTGGTCAGAACCCGTCACAATGAAGGCCGGGCCTCTTCAACGAATCAGTCATTGAAGGTTATCTCCGCAAATGTGCAAGCCTCTTCAACAAACTAGACGAACTAAGAGACTTAGTTGATGAAATTATGCCAGACATTATGACATTCACAGAAACGTGGCTTACTGAAGATATCGCAGATTTGGAAATATCACTTAGAGGATATCAGCAATTCAGGAGAGACAGACTAAGCGGAGGAGGAGTCATAATTTATGTCACTTGCAAGCTGAGCGCTGTGGCTGGTTTGCATAGACTGGTACGGGATGTGGAACTGCTAGGCGTTACCATATCTACTAAGGATGTCCGATCATTGACGCTTTCGGTGGTGTACCGTTCACCTAATCATACTTCTGACCAAGATCTCATGCTCATATCCGAACTGTACCAAGCTAGCGAGAAGACAGACGTCCTTGTCGTTGGGGATTTTAACGCTCCTGGCATTGATTGGCTAACGTGGACTGCACAAGGGCCGCAAGACAGCTTTAATCACAAACTACTACAATGGGCAACGGACAAACTTCTCTGCCAGAATGTTACCTTTGGAACACGGGTCAGGAATGGGCAGCAGTCGAACTGCCTTGATCTTATTTTTACCCGATATGATGAAAATGTGTTAGACCTGCAGGACCGACCGTCATTAGGGTCAAGCGACCACATCACGCTCTACTTCGAGTACTCATTGTTTTCCAAGCCCGTTCAACCCGATAGGTGGGAGAGAAACATTTGGAAAGGGGACTATTCTCTCATGAGGAGGGAAGCGGCAGCTGTATTATGGGAGACTGAACTGCATGGTCGAGCAAACGACAACTGGAATACTTTCAGTTCCTTACTGAAAGAGATTTTTTTATTCCAATTGTCCTCTTAGAAGAAAGAAAATCACACACCGCCCAAAATGGATAAACCCGGACTTGAAGCCCTCTTTCAGAAAAAGGAATAGTTTGTGGAGGTGCTACCGATTAACCGGCTTCGAAGAACACTTACAGGGATATAAGCGGCAACGAAACATTTGTATAAGTGAGGCCTCAAAGCTGCGAAGAAAATTTGAACTGAACATACTTCGAGATTCACTTGAGCATCCGAAAATTCTATATGGTTATATACGAAGTACTAAGAGAACTCAGGAGCTGATCCCTGCCCTTAGGTTTGCAGATGGAAAAGTGGAGACTGATGACCAGGTTAAAGCGTCCCTCCTTTCCGACTTCTTTCAGTCCGTCTTCACCCGAGAACCTAGTTCTATATTTGCCCATCCATCCATTCACCAACCAACCTCTCCTCCCAGTACCCTTCCCCATCCTATCCCCTCCCTACCCTCCTTAACCGAGGAACCACTCTTTTCATCTACCATAGTTAGGGCCGAGCTACTCCGGCTGAAACCTGCCAAATCGCCTGGCCCAGATAGAATCCCCGCCCTAGCACTTCGTGAACTTGTCAATGAACTGTGCAAACCATTATTCGCAATATTTCAAAAGTCATTTGAAGACGGCGAGCACCCGGAGGAATGGAAGTGCGCACTCATTACTCCGATCCATAAAGGAGGCTCAAGACTTGACTGCGGAAATTATCGTCCTGTCAGTCTTACTTGCATCGCGTGTAAAATAATGGAACAATTACAATTACAATTACAATTATTTTTATTAAAGACCCGTCGGGGTCCCATCAAAGCAAGTAAAAATAAATTTACATGCAAATTATGGACGATGTAGGCAAAATCTGCACAAAGTGCAATGCATAGTTTTTGAGATTAGAAGTCCGTTAAGCAAAATGAAAATGAAAAAAACGAGGGGTGAAAAAAAAAACTCCAAAGCAAAATTTAAAAATGATTGTAGTAATTTAACAGGAGAAAAAAACGTATTATCAAAAGACACTTGATGAAATACCTGGAACAGAACAAAATATTGTGTGATGCCCAACACGGCTTTCGTCCAGGGCGCTCCTGCCTAACGAGTGTTCTTTACTCGCACGAGAAATGGACACGAGCTACCGATAAAGGTTTTCCAGTAGATGTCATATTTTTTGACTTCAAGAAGGCCTTTGACAGTGTCCCACACAGGCTTCTTTTACAAAAGATCTGGGATGTAGGGATTCAATGAAGAATGTTTAAGTGGATCAGGAGTTTTCTGTCCTCCAGACTACAAAGAGTCGTCGTTAGTAATTCTACCTCGGAATGGGTAAAGGTGGAAAGTGGTGTCCCACAGGGTTCTGTCTTAGGCCCAGTACTCTTCCTGATTTATGTTAATGACTGCATCAGCGAAGTGAATTGCGAGGCTCTCATGTTTGCGGATTACATAAAAATATGGAGTGAAGTCAATTGTGATGATGATGGAGAGAAGTTGCAGTCGAACATCGACAAACTGTGTGCTTGGTCGAACAGATGGCTTTTGAAGTTTAACGTGTCCAAATGCGTAGTCTTGCACCTGAACACCGGCCGCAATGCCTCTCCCAAACGCCAGTACTATATTGACGTGACGAGGTTAGAAACTGTGGAAAGAGACAGAGATCTGGGTGTATGGACGACCACAAATCTATCGCCATCAGAACACTGCAGAAAGATGGTCCAGAAGGCAACTAGAACTCTACACTGGATCAGACGTGCATTTAAAATATTTCCTCCCGAACTTTTCGAAAGACCCTTTGGTGTCTTTGTAAGACCTCATCTAGAGTATGGAATGCCAGCAGCTTCACCATGGATGAGGAAGGATATCAACTTACTCGAACAGGGGCAACGCGGCGCGACAAAGATGGTCGACGGTCTAAAGCATTTGTCTTATCAAGAGAGGCTGAATTTCCTTGGCCTATTCCCTCTCTCTTATAGACAAATAAACTGCAGTCTACTCTGGACGTTCCGGATTGTCCGCGGCCAGGGTTGCTCATTAAGAGCAGAGGATTTCTTTGAGTTCGCCCGTGCAAACAAACTACGCGGCCATGCATACAAAGTCGGGAATGAGCGCACGCGTTGAGACCGACGAAAATTTTCATTCAGCCAGCGGGTTGTCAGGCCGTGGAACTCGCTTCCAAGCGAGATGGTGACGGCTGATACAGTTTGTGTGTTTAAAAGAAAACTTGCTCGTCTAGTTTTCGACAGGAATCGGCTTGTACAGCATGACTATGCACAGCCAGTTTTGGAAAATCTGTCATATACAATCTTCCGCATTAATTTACAGTGACCTTATGCACTACCTAATGATTACGATTGAACTGTCACCCAATCACATTTTAAATGCCTGCAATTTTATTTTATTTTTGAGTATGATTCTACGAAAGCACTGTACATAAATAGGGTCATCAAGGGCTCTGCCTGTAAACCTTCAATATACATACATACATACATACATACATACATACATATCGGCACACGCCCAGCCGACTGAAATAAATAAGGGAGTAAACATTATTCGTAGTACAAACGACACTATGTATGAAGGAAAGTCAATTGAGAAGGCCTTGCCACCTAGGATTAGCGCTCGCTCTCTTTATAGTTGCAACCAGGGGCCCGCAAAGCGCGCTAAAAGCGTTATCACAGCAAAACCTGTTAGGTACGAGGACGAGCCATGCACTGGATGCTCATTTATTCTGCTGAAAGTCCAAAAACTCGAAAAAGAGTTGACTGCTTTAAGGGAACTCGTGCAAGCGAACGATAGTGTGCAAAACGCGGTGAATAGCGCTAAAGTTAGCAAGAAAAAGGGAAAGAGCAAAACTCTAAAACAGCCAAAGAACAAAGCATGTGGAAAACCTCTGTGCAAGAGCGCCGATACCCAGGACGATAGGAAAATAGCAACGGAGTCTCTTGCTTCTATGGGAGACAACCCAAGCGAGCCATCAACTTCTCTCAGCCATTCCGCGTGTTCAACAGGACCCTCAGTTGGAAGTGAGGAAACAAGCTCATGGCAAGGTGGAAAGGGTAAGCGTCACAACGGGAGTATAGAACCCCAGACGACTCCGGTGGATCTTCTGAGACCTTCAGCTGACAAGGCCACCGGAAACAGAAAAAATGAACCTCTTGATCGTCAGCATTGCGTAGTCGTCCAGGGTCTATCGGAGTCGGATGCTCCTACCCCAAAGGAGAGGATCTCCGCTGACCTTAATATGCTTCAACACCTACTGAACGAAATGCTTAATTCGAATGAAAAGATAGCCATTCGCGCAGTCTTCAGGATCGGAAAGAAGGTGAGCGAACAATAAGAAACTGTGAGGCCACGACCTCTGAAAATTGTTTTGAACAGTAAAGAGGAAGCTAGCTTACTTCTGTCCAGGAAAAGCAGCCTCCGAAACTTTCATAAGGAAGTTTGTTTGCAGCCGGACTATTCTCCAGCGGAACGTCTGAAACGCCGCGAATTGGTATTGGAGTTGAAGAGGAGACTTGCAGCGGGAGAGAGCAACTTGGCCATTTTCAGGGGACGAGTAATACAGAGGAACGCGATGTTGTTTTGGAACCAGCCAGTCATCATGATGGCGGCAGCAACATAATATTGGCAAACCCGAGACAAACCGAGCGAAGCACTGTCGAATGTTGCAAACTAAAATTCTTTTACACCAATGCTCAGAGTCTGTTTTCCAAGCTTGACGAACTGAGAATACAGGTAGACGATACTCTTCCCGATGTAATAGCAATAACAGAAACGTGGCTGTCAGAGGACGTTGGTGATTGCGAGGTAGCATTAACAGGATACCATTTGTTTAGGAGAGACAGGAGAGGCCGCCGGGGTGGAGGAGTTGCCATGTATGTCAAGAGCAACTTAGCAGTGTTTGAGAGAACCGACAAGATTTCTAACGACACAGGGGCAATTTGGCTGACTATAAAGGCGCGGGGATCTCAGTCCCTCGAAGTCTTAACTATCTACCGGCCCCCGCAGACGGATCCCGACCCAGATACTTGTCTACTGAAGAGCATAAAAGAGATCGCCAGCCGACCAGACGTTGTTATCATGGGGGATTTTAATGCACCATGCATTCAATGGAGCGATATGCATGCGAAATGCTCGATGAATACCTTCGATTACCATGTACTAAAGACAACTCTAGAAGCTCTACTCACGCAACATGTCCTGTTTCCAACTAGAGCTCGTGGAGGGCAACAGGCCAGTTGTCTGGACCTCGTTTTTACCAAAGATCCTGACAGTATAGACGAGGTGTACTACCTATCCCCGCTCGGTCGAAGTGATCATGCAGTGCTTTTATGCGAGTACTTGCTGTATTCAGAACCGTGTACAAAAGACAATACGAGGCCAAATATATGGAAAGGGGACTTTCGCCAAATGAGAGCTGAGGCATCACAAATAGACTGGGATGTTCTCTTCTCCGGAAACGTTAACGAGGACTGGAATTTATTCAAGGATCGTTTACTGCACCTTATGAAGAACCACTGTCCCTTATCAAAGCCTAGGACATCCAACCGCCCTCAGTGGCTTACACGAGAACTCAAAAGGGAGATCAACAAGAAAGGTAGGTTAGGAAAAAATTTCGCGAGAACAACAATAATGCAGCGTTTACAGGATACAAAATTCAAAGAAATAAGGTGAAAAGCCTGATTTTCAGGAGGCGGCGGGATTTTGAGAGTAATTTGCTCCACCGAGCCGTTAAAAATCCGAAATTGCTCTACAGCTATTTGCGGAAAAGCACACGTAACAGGAATCCCATTCCTGTTATGAGGGGTGATGACGGCTTGGAGGTATCGGACAGTACAAATAAGGCTGAGAAATTTTCTCAATTTTTCCGATCCGTTTTCACAAGAAAAGCGGACTTTAACCCATCTAATTCTGAGAACATGAGAGATCCCACTATCGAAAATATTGGGTTTCGAGAAGAAGCGATTTTGGAAGAACTGAAAAGCTTGAAGGAATGTAAATCTCCCGGTCCGGACGAGATTCCAGCAAAGCTGCTCTTTGAGCTTGCCCAACAGCTGGCCAAGCCACTATCCTTTCTGTGCCAAAAATCGTTTGATACTGAAATTCTTCCCACAGACTGGAAGACGGCCCACATTACACCCCTTTACAAAAGCGGTAGTCGTGCTCAGGCGACAAACTACAGACCCGAAAGTCTGACATCAATCTGCTGCAAAGTGATGGAGAAAACAATCAAAAAGGCGTTGATGGCTTACTTGGAAACCCACAACCTCTTGTCCAATACACAATATGGTTTCCGTAGGGGAAGATCATGTGTTACGAACTTGCTATACACAATGCAAAGTTGGACACGAGCACTGGACGCAAAACACACCGTGCATGTTGCCTATATTGATTTTCGGAAGGCGTTTGACAGTGTTCCGCACCAGCGTCTCCTACACAAGTTGAGAATTATGGGCATCGGTGGCAAACTTCTCAAATGGATCGAAAATTTCCTTGTCGGCCGCTCCCAAATTGTCTGCGTAGAACAACAGCAATCAAGGTGCACATTCACAGAGAGTGGGGTCCCACAAGGCTCGGTGCTCGGACCAACTCTCTTTCTCTTGTTCATCAATGATTGCGTAGATGGGTTGGACTGTGATTGTGCCATGTTTGCGGATGACATAAAAATCTGGAAAGTCATCCAGAATGCTGCCGATGAGACGAACTTCCAAGAAAATCTTTGTTGGTTGGACGAGTGGTCCCGCAGATGGCTCTCGTCCTTCAATTTGAACAAATGCACCATTCTGCGCCTCGGAAATCAGAGCCCTAGTTCGCGGCAATACCATCTGAACGGAATGCCACTCCGAGAAGCAGAAACTCAGAAAGATCTCGGAGTTTGGGTTGCAGACAGCCTAAAGCCTTCTACACAATGCTATAAGGCGGCCAAGGCCGCAACGTCAATGCTATATGCCATCAAGCGGGCATTCGTAGTTTTCGATGAAGACTGCTTCACCAAAGTCTTCGGCACGTTTATAAGGCCCCATCTCGAATATGGAATTCAGGCCTGAAGACCGTGGACGCACCAGGATTACGATTTGCTCGAAAGGGTGCAGAGGCGAGCCACAAAATTAGTAAGAGGTCAAAGTGCACTGCCATATGAGATTCGCTTAACTAACCTTAATCTCTAGCCTCTGAATTATAGGCAGTTGCGCGGAGACATGATACAAACTTTCCGTATCGTGCGCGGCTTGGATTGTGCCCTTCGGTGCGATGACATTTTCCAACTCGCCACTACAAATAACCTCCGGGGCATCCTTTCAAGCTACGTGTGCCACAGGGTAGACTGAATGTGAGAAAATATTTCTTCTCCAACCGTGTCGTGGAACCGTGGAATAACCTGCCCGAGACGGTTGTTATGTCTCAATCTGTGGAGACATTTAAATGTCGCCTTGACAGATATATGCTGCAGCAACAAGCGGACTATGTGACTTTTTAACCATGTGACTAGTGACATATGTGAATCAATGTATGCATTCACTTAATGCTGTAATTTCTTCACATTTTTGCATGTTTATCGATTTTTTATGTACAAACAGGGAGTTCAAAGGCGTAAGCCTATTTCCCTCAAATACACTGACTGACTGACTGACATAGAATAAATAAGCAATTAATACGCCTGCAGGAATGACATGTGGAAGTGCTGGGTTACATCAGTTCTGCTGCCGGTAGTGGAAACGCAGGCTTTACTTCCACTATTAAAATGTCTGCGCCGAACAAGCCTACTGCAAGTCCTACCGGCGTGTAAGACAATACCGGTACTGCCACTTCTGTAAAACGTACTGTGCTAGTCCCCACGCGAAAACCTATGTCTGTTGCGTAAACCACGGTAAAGGTAATGTTTGTGTACCTGACTAACAATCAAATTAATACGACAGGACAGTGGTCTGCATATGGAAAAGCAGTCCCTCCATCAGCGATTTCCGTCTACGCAGGCAGTGCCAATAACACTAGCAGAAGATGTTACGAGTACAATCAGTTTAAGATATGACACTGCAGATCCTGCTGCTGTTGGAGCTGTCCTAGCGCAAGCAAGACGTGGGCTATATGGATTGCCAAGTCCACGGCTACCGATAATGCTACCGCGAGTGCGCATTAGATAGCTTGTCTATCGTAGTTAACGTCCGCTCATCATTCTATAGGACGCCTGATGGCGTTATGTAATCTCCTACTTCGACAACTGTTACTGTCGTCAATACTCATACCACTTAAAGGTCAACAGTAAGTATTACGAACAGTAAACCAATAAGTAGAAAAATAACTAATACTGTTGCCGCGAGAAATAATAATTTAAGATATTAAAACTGAAACAACTATTCGTTTTCTTCCTGTGAGTGCCTTGGCCGATCGCAGACAAACTGTCTATCCACTGGTAAGAGAATAATGTGACATTCACAATCGAAATATTGAACTCTGAACTAACTGTCAAGTCACATATCTGTCCAAACTAAGTATGTCTAGCGCAACCTGATTAATTTACGTCTGCGGAATTTCCGCATAGGTTGGGAGGTTGCGTCGAGAGATGGCATGTCTCAGTGAATGTCTGCACTGAACAGCGTACAGTACCCGCTATCCACTATGTGCCTGCAGACATGCGGCGGCCACCTCAACCCCCCCTAGTTTTTGTTCTCGCAATCACGAAGCTCTTACAATAACGCTTCCGGTGTCACCAAAAGGCCTCGGCAAGTAGGGTTTAAATGCAGACACCCACTCGAGAGTCTTCATGCTTGACCCTGCGTGACCTCGAAATGTTCGTAATGTTGCGACACATGTTTCCACAGCACCACTCGGTGTCTTGTGCCTGCATTCTCCCCTCCCCCACCCCATCAGACCACTTATCGTGCTCACAGTTTCAAGATAAACAAAGCCCTCGAGTTTTCTGATTGGCCTGAACTTACCACCATGCGAGGGCGGTGTTGGCCTTGGACGGCGCCTCTTCAACCGGCACCAGTCACGACATGACCGCCTGCCCACTGTCACATCCGTTAACCTCCCCCAGTCCTACTTCCCTAGTTAATCTGAGATGTATTCACGAGCCCTGTGTTTGTTCATTGTCCGAGTTGCATGACAGGACGCATTAATGTGTACGCATACACGACCTGCAAGAACCACCTCCCTCCGGCATGGTGTAATGACGTTTTAGTCACATTTTACCACAGTATGAATTCACTTAACTTCCACCTAAACGCACTTTGCACCTCGGCAAGTCTCTGACCATCCCTCTAGGTAAACTGCTAAGCCAGCGTTCCACCTTCGGGGATGTTAACCCGGTAACCGGATAATGAGCTCACCTCGGGTATGAGCACTGCAAATGGCAAACATATGCTTTGCGCCTGCATGTAACTGCCGCAGTAAATCGTGAACCAAACCCAAGAAGTTTGTCCAAACCACACAAGCGCGGTAGACAAAACAGAGAATAAAGAACTCCAGTCGGCAAACAGTTTGAATACGGAGAAATTTACTTTGGTGTTTAGGCAGAATAAATACTAGTTTATGAAGGTAATTCTACCCGGTCACTGCTGTCGTCTGCAATATCACATGGGCAAAGCAAAATTTAATAACATCAACTGGTACGCCGCGTCCATTTATAAGCAGCATATGGCAACCGTCAGCATTATTTCCGAGAGCCGGTTTGTCCGTAAATAAAGCTCGACACATAAGTAATCGCAAATTCGGGATTTGATTGGTGTGGGCATGATGAAGTAGGTTAGCAAATTATTTTATTTAACTTCCATAAGAATAATTTTATGGAAATAGACCTTAAATCGAAGGAATCTGAATGACTACATCCATTGGCTGTGTGATGCAAGCAATACGACTTGTGCTGAGAAGACTTGGGATATAAATATTACTGCGAACTCTACTACGGTAGTCAATAAACCGTCTGGTAATATTACTGCCACCACTTGGGCGGCCTACACGAAGATATTTCCTAGAACTGCAACCATTAACGGTCGTACATCTACAGCCGTCGCTATTGTACTGTGGGTAATGCCACCGCAAGCGGAACTCGTAATATCTCTGCCAGTAATATAACTGTTAGTAGAACGGCGACCGTATTGTTATGGGTACTGCCATCACAAGCAACAGTACAGCCCTCCTATGAAATAAGGCAGTCGGCCAAAACAGAAACCATTACCGCTGCGGCAAATGCCGGCTACTGCTACGGTAAATGGTGTAGGCTTTCGTGCAAGTCAAAACGACTAATAGTAATGCCAGTATGACTTCACCGTCAGATGCCTGAATTTAAACTGCATACGGTAACTGGCAATAATAAGCTTAGTGCTAGTACTACTACTACTACTACTACTACTACTACTACTACTACTACTACTACTACTACAGCAACCATTTCCTCAGGGCGTCGTGACTAGTAGTACAGCAGGTGTGATAACTCATGAAATGTCAACCGAAATTCCAACAATGCGTTTTCGTTTCGAAAAGATTAATGAAGCAGGGTTGTAACACTAAAAATCGTGCAGCGTAATTCTGTACCAATTCAGTTACCTTAGAATGCCGACATTCGAGCGAACGTCTTTCTGGCTGCATGCAAAACTATACTCTGTTAAAATGACTACATATGTAGCATGCACGTTTCTCATTTATTCTTGATGCCCTTAAATATTCGATTGTATTTCATGGAAAACATATTAATTCCTTTGGCGCTTTGGTATATAATCACGTCTTCTTCCAATTATGTACTCGAAGAAAGGGGTATAATTCGGCTTTAAAGTTTCTAATTGTAAGATTTTAATACTGTGAAATGGCCAATCATAAAACGCCCGGACTCTGCATGTACCGATGTGGCTTGTGAAGTTAACTGTATGGCTCAAATCCACTGCTAAATTTTATGAACCCCTTGAGATTTCCTCCAAATACCGTAGAGGAATTATGGGTTCTCGTACGCGATGAAATATATGGCTTGTAGTTTGGAAACTCTGAATGCAAGTGTAACGGCAGGTCGGGTTCAAAATTATTCGGGAATTATAAAAGTTTTCGAAAACCGAATTATATCCTTCCTTCGAGTATAAAATTGAACGAAGACATAATTTTGTATCAAAGGAACATGCTTCCATGAAATGTAAATGAATTTTTGAGTGCAAAGAAGATCAATGACAAAAATTCGTGCTACATAAGTAGTCATTTTAACAGAAGATAGATTTTGCATACAGCCGGAAAGAAGCCATTTCGAAAGGGGGCATGCTCAGGTATTTGAATTATTATAGAATTACGTTACACGATTATGCATTTTACAACTCTTCTTAATTAATCTTTTCGAAACGAAAACGCATTCCGGAATTTCGGTTGACATTTCATGAGTTAGTCCAACATCTGTAATTCTGATGGTAAAACTACTGCTGCAGGTAGTTCGACGACTACCATAATTGTCCCCTCCTCGGCTGAACTCGAAGCGGACTGTGGCCGATCGCGTCTGGGTTCCTGTCGTCTCGTCACTTTGACGCGAATAGTCTCATCCGGTGTATGAATTCTTCCTTGACCATGTCCGTTTCTAAGTCTTCATGCACCACCGCATGCAGGCCAGTCCTATCTGACCTGCATACTAACCATTTCATGAAATCCGCTATACACTACCACGTGCAGGCCGATCCTGCCCGCACTCGTATTCTTTCACGATCGACAGTCTTTTCTCCTTTAATGTTAGTCCAATCACATTTATTTAGTTTATTAGGTAAAGGAGTTTTTCTTACTGCTCGCTCCTCATTTTTCTGACAAAACTGCTTATTATTGAAAAGCATGAACCGAATGCCCTGTAGATTCTGCCTACTCGTTTTAAAATTCAAAGGAAAATTTATTTTTATTGCTATGATGGGACGAGGTCACGCTGACAACCCTTCGAGGAGATACTCACCCAGTATTCCCGACGTTTCGGGAAGATAAGCCCTAGCCTCCATTACCCCGTTCGACAGCTACACCTGTGTTGTGGCCCGTACTTGGCTAAACACGGACGTGCGTGCACAGGCAGACGGAATTTTTCCTCCAAACTGGTGGGTATTCCGACAGTGAAATAGTCCGATCGTGGCTACGTTTAAAAGGCGGTTGGACTACTTCACTTTCAATAAAAACGTCTGTAATAACAGGACAGTCTGTAGCAATTTATATTACATCACTGACAGACTTTCCACCCAGCCTTTAAAGAGTGATGTCTATGACAAATTCCGGTCTGTGTGTCATCCCTCTGCACCCTAAGGTTTGTGAATTTTTGCTATGCCATGATTAGCTACCCATGGCTCTCGCAGCCTGGTACTCTCTAACAGTTCTCCGGTGCCTGATTCTCTGGCGTAGATGCGCTCGAGCTTCTGTTGGGTGTGCAGGCTGTGTGCTTGGCCGCCCAGTCATCCACTTCCTTTCTGCTGTTGTTGTTGATCAAAATCTGGTGAAGTGTCTGCTGTGGACAATGGGGTGTGGAGTGGAGCGCCAATGTGCGCGTTCGGCCGCGCCATCCATCTGCACCCTCTCCGCATCCGGTCTCCATGACTCTACTTTGACATTGGGTCCAGATGGCGAAGAGGGGAGAGTGCGACAGATGCTGCCAAAGTCCACTATCACAACAAACTACTTCACGCGCAAGTCACCATACCTGCCTCATTTTGCTGTTGAGCACATCATGAACACCATCAGATATGACGGTCAAAGTATCAACCAATCATTGCGCGTCTATTTCAAAATGTCCAGAACATATCACAGGCGACAGATTTTTAAACCGACCGCATGCATTTGCATACATCAATGTGACTATACATAAAAAATGGTCGTTAAGGTCATTGCCCTTACACCAAACGTACAGTTAAATGGAGAGAATGAAAATAAGCCTGAAATTCCTTAGTGCAATCTATGTAAAGTATGCATGTGCCGATGTGTCGGTTTTCAGACCGTAAATATACCTGAAAATGGAGAACTGCCAAATGCAGAATGTACGAAATTGATGAATCCACTACTATATATTCAGTAGGCTGCCATACGATACCTGTGATAAACTTATGTGCTTCATTAGAGTATTTAGGATATTTAAAGATGCCGGAAGGATTTCGTCGGCCGAAAAGTATTAAACGATGTGCAATGGCCACGTCTGTGCGCAGACTCTGTCGGTGATTCCTACCAAGATCTTTGAAAGGATTTAGCGAGGCTAAATATTTTCACATGAAAATCAGAAACCTAGCAACTGCATCAGTATCGGGTTTCCAAATGCAATAATACAAGCCTGTAGCTTATGAAATCACTAAAAATAGTCCGAGAAGCCGAAAGATCAAGTGTAAAAATCGCCATCGCTTAGATCTTAGATAATTGGAAGTGAGCTAGTGAGTTTTACGTAGACATTTACACATAAAATATCGGGCAGTCAATGGAAGTTATGACGTCTGTTAAAGAATTTTCTAAATCATGCTGACGGATAGGACCCTGAGTTTTCTTTTCTCTGAGCGGATGAAAGTTCCACGATATTAACCATAGGGTCCTCATATTATTCAGCGTCAACGGCTGGCTGATTTTCCCCTAACAGACTCCCTGCTGGCCAACAAAACGGCCTACTTTGCGCATATTAGTATAGTAATTCTAATTTTAAGTAAGCACGAGCCGTTTTTTATGTTTTACTTCGTGCACTATGCGAGTAGGCACCACTTTTCCCGATTTCATCAGTCTTGTCAGTTTTCACGCAACCCTCCGTTATCTACCAACTTAAACTAATCTTCTCTGACGACATTTTTTGCCTGTTATTTTTTAATAATTGCTTGTGGCGTAGGTTTGACGTTCTTGTCGAGCAGTTTTTGTCGGGTTGAAGCTATCAGGCCGTTAACTCTTCTACCCTGTCTACTCATGGAATCTCTGCTCAGTTCCTCAGTGCGTAGTGCCATTTTATAACCATTTAAACTTTAACAGAGAAGTAACAAGATAGACGGTGGTACTTGATTGCCCTGTGACTTCTAAAAAACTGGACGCCTGGGTCCTTGAGCTACTCGCAGCCAAGGTTACATGTAATGGTTATTGCTTTGGCGGTGGCGCGCAGTTCATTAGTGGATTTGTCACAAACAAAGCATTTGCAACTGACAACGAAGGCCCTCTGCTCCTGGTCCGTATAGAATCATAGGGCGGTGGTGTTTCGAGGCCACTGAGGCTTGTTAGACGACTTCGAAAAATATAGTTATTTTCAATATAGTTGTTAATAATAAGAGATTGTCATATGCATCAGTTAATTCGTGGAAACTGTCTGGTCGTTGGTGAGTTTATTTTTTCGCGTATAAAGGCAGGTCCACAAGCAAGTGGAAAGACGTCTTTGATTCATGCATTAGCAGAGTCTCGGAGCGAGTTTTCTAGAACTTATAACATGGTAAGATGCCGATTTTGGATTTTTAAATCAGCAGACAATCGTCCCCGAATTAATTGTCAAAAGCATACTTGTCGCGGAGAAGAATGTCGTGGTGGTAATTGATTGAAATACTTTATTTGCCTAGGAGTTGCTTATTTATGATTATCCAGGCAGTCCCATTTATATGGACCTTCTAGAGAAATACGTAAGTCAAGCACAATCTATAATAGGAAGGTGCCAAACTCAAACATGCTTGCATTTATTTTCGATCTAACGGACAGAGAAAGCTTCGAAACATGTGATACATGGATTAAGAAGATAAAGGACGATGGAACTAAATTAAAAGCGCCAGGTAAAACGAGCAGGCTAATATATACATATTGTTTCAGGGGTTCTCATTGGGAATAAGTCTGATCTCTCAGCGCGGCGCAAGGTGACAGAAAACGAAGCAAAAACATTTGCTGAAGAGAATGGATTAAATTACATTGAGACATCCGTCGTGAGTGCGATTAATAATTTTCATTTGTTTTATTCGGCCACAGCAAAATTTGGAAAGATTATTCGGATTGTGGCATTGATGGAAGAAAAACGACTAGCCGACGACATAACATAATGATTATGGGCATTAGACTGTGTTTATGATTAAAAACCTATTGATTGAAACTCCAAGGTTTGTTATTGATAATCATCAACAGCATCTAATTGCCATGTAGACACATTTCTATGCAAGCTTATGTATTTGTTCAAGGCCAGACCGGGTAGTACTGAATTAAACCAATTACCCCAGCAAGAAGCGCCGGCTAAATCATATCGAGAAAATTATACAGAAAATTATACAGTCTGTGCTTGCATTTCACTAGCATTCATACTCACCTGAATACATTTTTCCTACTGACCAATATCCATATTTTGAAGTCTGGTGTTCATGCTTTAGCTTTTCGAATAGTTGATTGTTTAATCATGGCCATGACGTTTTGGAGAAAAGTTTACAAGTCAAGTGACGAGACGTTTAGACCTATCAATTTAATTTTGACAAAACAAGGACACTTTATCGCCCATTAAGACAGTTAACGAACCCATAGGGACCCTCCGAAATTTGTTCCTACAGCCTAATACTCAGAGAGATGGAATGCCCTTAAATTTGGAGAATTTGCAACCACAAAGAGGCTAGATGCAGTCCAAAGCAATCGGTATTTGTGCTGCTAACAATCTGACTGGAATAAGTTGTACCTGATCCATTTTATTTTACCTCTGATGAAATCCAAAAAGCGGTCCTAACATTACACTTGGGACGAGGCTGGTATGACTTCGAGCCAGTAAGTCGGATTCAGTTAAAGAATAGAACGGGGAATTTATGCAGTAGTCAAGGATTCCCGATGTTTTACTTTTCTTTTGCTAATGCTCGCGTGAATACCGAACCGAAGCTAAACATTGGATTGCTGATAAGAAACCTTGGGTGGACTGGGTACGCTAATCCAGCAGACGAACGGTTAAAGACAGTGTGACAAGCTTGCTTACAGCTAAGCTACAGAAACTGTGAGAATAAACGGAAAGCGACTTCTGGATGATACTGGGATAGCAGAAATAATAACTTCCAGGCAGGCAGCTGGTTTATTTCACGAAATTACTGTGCTGCTTGATTTTTTGAATGGACGCATTTCTTAGTCCGACTTTGGGTTACTGACTAGAAAATGAAGTTTCTTCGCATCAGCGGCGAGATCCCACTGGCTAATCCGTTTGCAGGCACGGAAAAGACATGTCTGACAGAAACATGGCTAAAGCATCTGGTTCGACAGTTTAACGTCATCCACAACTATTTCTAACTGTCCATTTGTGTATATGTGAAAGAGCAATGGCTCCAGCACATAACTATATGGACTAGCAGACTATCAGCACTGCGATACTATGTCGGGGAACTGCTAACCCTCGATGAATTTTACATTTTCCCAAAAGCGGCCGGGTGCGAACGGACTTAAAGCACTGGTTATGATAATCAGGTTGTCTTTCATTTTCTGGGGTTTCTAGAAGATCAAATGGGTGTGAGGTTTAGGTGACAATCAACGCCAAGGGCATGACCTCTATCGGAAGTACCCCCTTAACAATCTTTTGATGTCGAAATGTATATATATGGACAATTGAGGTGCTATTAATTTTTAAGTTGTACAGGTTCTCGCAATTTCCGCTATAAGCCGGATTTTGCGGCTAGAAGTTACTTGGAATCTACAAACTAATAAGACTATACGCAAATGGTAGAACTGATCTTATCCGGTTAGAGGTGTGGGTCTATTGCCGCTGTCCGAGGTGGGGAGTTCCTCTAACAACTGTGTTGTAGTTGACCAGCAGCAGATGGGGGAGGATTCTGCGGCGGGTTGCTAAACGGTCGTTCCTTGACGTTATTACCTCCCGAACAATCCTTAAACATCTAGGGGGGATAGCATGACTCTTTTTGAAGTTTGGCTTTTTAATTGCTTGCCTATGTGCTCTGTGATTTACCGAACATTTCGACTGTCAAAGGCAGCCAATAATGAGCGGTGGGCATGCGACCCTGCAGTCTCCTTGAACACGCCTATGCGAGAGTATTTGCCCTAAACCTGCTGTCGATTAAACCTCTAAGAATCATCCTTGCGATAAATTTATCTATCAGTTCTACCAAAGGCATTGTTGATCTGCGGCGCACATTGTGTAACAAATTCGTGATTTTTCTTAGTCAGACTGCTGACCCTTTGACGTTTAGCTTTTAGCCTCTCTTCCTTGAGGCAGCTTGATTATGAGACCTTAGTGTTTATTTGCCTCCGCTTCTAACATGCTGGCTCAAGTAATCAAACTTCCTGTGTTACCCATATATCAAACAACTAGTTTTCTCTTCTGCTGGCGGTAACTAAGTTGTTTGAATGCATACTTCAATGCCTTAATTTCTTCTGTATCTGTAATCGCGGACAGCTACGTCGCTTTATTGTTTCATCAAGGATGCTACTGGCTGTATTATTCCCAATAATCAGGAATTTCTTTCTGTTCACCAAGGTGATTAAGATCCCCAAAGGTGACTTTCGCGCATGCTTTGCAGAGCTGACGTCAGCTAGACTTTTCTGGCCTCGTAAACATAACTTTACTAACACGAACTTTGGCATATTTTATATGCTGCCAACAACTGTGTTGTCATTAAGACTGAGTGGAGATGCGTGGCCCCCAGTTTGTGTGCAGAGCAACCTGCTTCACCAATAAACCACGTAATTGTTTTTGATGATGCTAGGAGGTCGTCCTTTTCAATCAATCGTCAGTATGGAGTTCAAAAGCTTAAACGTTCTGTCCCAATTTCTGGAGGCGAGAAACATTTATCTCCCGGACAACGACATGAGCACCATTTGATGAGTTCTCAGTAACAGCAGAAATTCCATAAGCCTGCCGAGTGCATTGCGCGTTTTAACAACGCGATATACTCTCGATTGGACAATCTTTCTTTCCGATAGTTGTAGCGGCCATATTACAAGACCTTTCACTCCAACATGCCATCTTATCAACAGTACTCCTGGCATGTGAAGTAATTGTTCACGAACAAGTTTTTACTGGGTCGTCCGCAAAAAACATCCCTATCATTGGTAGTGCCGTGTGCGTCTATCACTTAACTTCCGACAACTGAGGACTTTGGAAATCAGTTGATTATAACTTTTGGTTTTCGATGGTAAAGTTTTTCACAAGTATCGTTGGAGTTTTCTTCTCGAGCTTTAGGAGAGCGTCCAGCTGGGGTTCTACTTTCCGCGACTTATTCTTCAGGTCTTATTCGATTTTAGAATGATGATTAATTAGCACTCCAAGCTCAGTTTACAACAAACGTAACTGGAGAGATCAATTGAGCTCTAATACGGACTAACCACAAGCCACATTTCACCCTTCCACAGAATGGGCCTGGATGAATCTGTCCTGTCTGTGACAAAACCGTTCCAAACTTGGCAACTAGTTACATTCAATGAAACTGCCCAATTGACTTTTATTATAGATTTAGACTACTCTAACGGGTGACATGGTAGTTCGACCGCCGCGACCGACGACGTTTACTGCGTGTTTCGCAAAAGGGTAGGAGCAGGGACGGTGACTTGTGCGAAAATTAGTTTATAGTAATAGCAGGAATTATATGAAGAGTTCGGCCTATAAATGATTTCTAAGTGTAGTGACAATTGGGTGGACGGTTCCATAGAATTGAGCTTCATATTGCAAATTTTCACTGAAGCACGTCTTTAATTTGTCTTTCTTGTGACATTTCTAAACTTGCGGCTGCACGTGCAAGGTTTTGGTGCCAGTGGTGCATGATAAGACTTCGCAGTTCCGCCAGTTGTCTTTAATTGGTAGCTGCTTGTCACAAAGTTCAGTAAAGGCCTGCACTGTTTATCGCGAAGCAATCATCCGCTTTCTGGGCAGTCGATGCCAAAAAAACGCGACCCATTATGTTTGAAGTACACTAGTCTTTAACTTGCAGCACTTATCTATGGAAGCATGCGGTTTCATGAGGGGTTTCGGTTGAACATAAGCCTTTACGGCAAAATCCTTAAGTACCAAGCTTTCTGGTACTTCAGCTAACAGTACTGGAACCCATGCGAAACGTCAGAAGACTGCAGTAGTAGATACACAGTGTTGGATGCTTACGATTACCAAAAGGTCTACGCAGTATGTTGAAAGCCAGTTGCAGACTATAACTTGACGGGAAAGTACATTGAGCAATTGTAGATAGCAGACGTATTAGTTTCTTTGCAAGTCAAAATCATGTACACTGTCTCTAAAAGTGCTCTGGAAGCGCACGGCATCACTCTTTATGCAAGCCGTTTTCTCTGAGAACTCAAGCTACCCTGACCCTGACAGTTGCCTTTAATAATGATTCTGTTCTAACTTGGATCATTTCTTATTTTAGAAAGAAAACCGCAACATTCTACCGCCATTTAGTAAACTTGCCTCTCAGTACTGCGATTTGTACAAATCAACATCTGTCAAATTTCAAGAGTTATTATAGCTTTTGAGTATTTTTCCTTTTATTACTAGGAGTTTTAAGTGGCTTCGACTATTCACATTGATTGGCCCTCTTTGTCAAAACGCCTACCCCGGATGAAACCTTCAAAACCAGAGCTTTTTTCGGCCGAGTTCTGATAGCGGCGATTGTAGTGAGCAAATTGCATGCGGACCTAGTTTCAGGGAAGCAGCGTACTTTCTCCACACACTATCAGCAAAGAGAGTCGCACTTTATTATCTGGTTAATGAGCATCGGCAGTTCTAAGTGCTACCCTGAATACTTTGTAGGCGACATCAAAAGGCTATCAATAATCTGCAAAGTTTCTGTCCCACAGTTTGAAAGGACAACTGCCATATCGCAGATGCCATATACCGTATGGGCTATTCGTCTAAGCTCTATCGGCATAAACAATTAAATTATGGCTTGGGTAGGGAAATCAGCTCATTTTGATTTTTACTAGAGGGTTCCTGGGACTAGGGAGTCTCAGCCTCTAACGAATCCTTTGAATTTGTGAATAATAAGTTCTCATCCGACACAAGGCTCGTCCTCGTTTCCATTGCCTCTTACTGTAATTCATATATTTGTTCGTTTCACCGGGCATCAATTATAGACGTAAGGATGTCGGGAAGGGTCCTGGGTGCGAAGGTTACCACGGTAAGTTTCTATTCAAGTGAAATGCCGGTGTCGGTTGTACTGATAGCGGAATACCGCTGAGGCCATATTGTATGGTGGATAAGAGCGTAGGATGTTCGCTTACAGTTCCGTAACGAACACTTCGCATTGCATAAACCTGATTGTGTAGTATTTGCATTATACCCAGCAAACAATGCCCCGGAAACTATGCAGATCTGAGGCCTTAGTCCAGATTTCTGCCACCTCCGTCTGACTCACCGACAGATGTGTCTTGCCTGGTAATAGAACCGACGGAAAATTCGCCCAGAATTGCCTTCTGGTTCTGAACTTGTATTTTCTAGTGCTTTGTGCAGTGCTACCTCGCCTGACGATAGTTTGGTCGTCGCGGAAGACGACGAACGCCACGTGATCCATAACGAAGGCGTGGGGTGGCGAATCGCACGTAAATTAGTTAAGAGTGATACAGACTTGTACAATGTCTTCCGCACTTTTCCATTCCTAGTCCATTTCAACCGGCTTGCATGAAAAGGTTAAGACGACCGGAGGGGAGCGGGGACATTATGGCCGACAAAGCCATATGGCCCGTCTACGCGTGGCACACGCAAGCCTGTCACGTCTGTGAGTAGTGGCTCGGATCCCACACCATTGGGACTGCCCCAAAGACCTCATTAGGAAGCGGCCATTTCAGCCGGACTCGGATCGGAGTGAACAGAGTTATCTCATCAGTTGCAGCCCTCCAGACCACGACTATTTACATGCCATGATAAACTTATGCTCGGCAGGTTAAGTATAACGAGGAATGTGCTCATCTGCCGTGAGGTCGATCTCCCCACTATTGGCTTCACACTCTTATCTCGCCCATACACCAGTCGTCTGTCTGCGCCCGGCAACCGGCTGGTGATGGGATTGGGCTTAGTGGCTGACGCGGCTTGAATTTCAACGTCTACGCGTGACGTCACAGCATTTCCCATATGTCGCAGTGGGCTCTTGCAGTCGGTGTGGCTCGATTAACGTATGCCGTGACATAGTCTGCCTCCCCCCGTTTGTGTCCGACGCATTCACAGCGCAGCCAATTCAGCAGGCCAGCTGCGTTACTACTCACGTTACTGGCAACCTTACAGACAGAAGCGTTAATCAGCAGAAGGTAGTTGTTGACTGCCAGTGAACCAAGGCCTTGATCTTCAGCACAATACTACCATTGGCTTCAAGAAGGAGACACGATCGTTGGGACAAGAGCTTTATTAGCCTGATGTTTCGGATTCCTGCTCGAACCCATCATCAAAGACAAAAGCAGATACGGGTGGTTCATGCACAAGGGGCTGTAGTGTTTATAGGATGCAGTCGCCATGCTACTGCATACCTATGTATATTCACGGCTCCCCCTTCCCCCCCTCTGCATCAGGTATCGTTGCACTTGATGTGCTGACTGTTTGACGGCCGACATTTGCGTCGTTAATTGCTGCGTTGGATGTTGGTGTGATGATAGCTCGACCATCTGACCCACCGACCCTGACGTTGGGGAAAGTGTGCACGTGTGCGCTTACCGCATGACTAATTATTCCACCTAGGCGAAGTCTCAGCACCGAGTATGGAAGGGGAAGATCATTGCACTTGTTAATGGAGTGGGGGCCAGTTAACCATGCCTCAAACAGCTCCCGGCTCACGCGGTTGTCACCTCTAGCAAGAATTTCGGCCTCGTCGAATTTGAATGTGTGGCCTGAATCCGTCGAATGAGCCGCAACTTGAGAGCTAGCGTCATTTTTCCGCACCGCTGCAGCGTGTTCGGCCATTCGCGTTTGGAGTTGTCGTCCGGTTTCTCCGACGTAATTGCTTTGTCCGCAACTGCATCAGATCCGATGAACGACTCCAGACGTTTCTTGCCGTGGCCGTGGGTCTTTTGGTTTCATCAACTGACGCCTGATGGTTGCCTCCGGCCTGTGTGCAACTCCAACCGCAAGTGGTGCGAGAAGACGGCCGACAGCTTCAAAAACGTTCTTGACATACGGAAGCGCTCGCCAAAATATGATGTCCATGCGGCTAGGCCTTTTGTTCCTTTTGCGTATGCACCGGTTGACGAAGTTGCGCGGGTAGCCATTGGCTTTTAAGACCCGTCGTAGGTATGGCAGTTCAGCAATCTTGTCTTTCGGCCCACTTCAGTGCGTTTCGACATGCCGATGGAACGTCCTTACACAACTGCGTTTGTGGCTGATTGGGTGGTTGCTGTTGAAGTTCAGTACTTGCATCGTATTTTTCGCTTTCCTGAACACTTAGGTATTTGGTCCACGGCAATCTTTGCGGCATACGAAGACATCCAGGAATGCCAGCTGGTTGTTCTCTTTCTCCTCCATCGTAAATTGCATGTCGCGAATGTCGGCCATCAAACAGTCAGCACATCAAGTGCAACGATCCCTGATGCAGGGAGAGCCGTGAATATACATAGGTATACAGTAGCATGCCGGCGGCATCGTATATGTACTGCAGCCCCTACTGAATGAACTACCCGCATCTGCTTTGTCTCTGATGATGGGTTCGAACGGGAATACGAAACGTCAGGCTAATAAAGCTGTTGTCCCAGCGATCGTCTTTCCTTCCTCAAGTCTGCTTCCTGGGACTCGTCTCTTCGCTTCTACTACCATTGGCCGCATTCGCGTTTTGGCCAGGCTTTGGCCGGCGCGGAAAATGACTGGTTTAATCCGCGTGAACTTAGCCCTGTTTGTATTCGTATTTGACGCGCCTCGGGGGTCTGCTCGCCGGATGTGGCCCCAGATCCTCCGCCTAGTAATCTATGTCGTCCCCATTTAGGTAAAACCGTGCTCCAAGCAGCGACTAGGAAAAAAATACGGCTCTAAACTTTCGTAAGTTTAAAATCTCACGCACCAGCTTATTTGCATCTCGCGGTAAGCGGGGTTACATTACACTATAAAGATCAGGCAAAGACCTATCGACATACGACCTCTAGCTGTCTCGGGCCAACACCTGCATTTTCCGAGATCCAAAATAAATATTTTATCCAAAGTTACCGAGAGTTCTGGTCGACCTAATAAATAAGTCACAGTGGATGTTTCTAGGAGATATTTTTGGACATGGCCTTCCATCAAAAATTCCAGTTACCATAAACTTAAGGTCGCCTGGAATTTTTTAATGCCCAAGCTCGAAATTTAGTAACTTTTTTGGGGAAATTCTTTATCTTTTGCCAAAATTAGTTTAGGCCGGCAGTGGAGGGGGGGCGGAGAAGGTGAGACATGCTACAGCCCCTATGTGCCTTTTGTTACCTAGATGTGAGGCTATCGTGAGTGCCATGTGTGAAAATTTGTTACCTGCACTAATTATGTGTCACCGATGGTCATGGTGACAGAACAACTCTGAGAATGTGGACGAGCAAGTAGACCTGCAACTATAAAAAATATGAACAGCACAGCCGGAAATAACTGAATTTCTACAAAAAGTATCGAAACAGTAGGAAATATTTATAACGTAGGAACTTCGACTGCGGTGTCCCGCCCTCATTAAACACTTGAATGGGCACGCACGCGTACATGCACTAGACGCTCTAGGTCACTCAACTTTACTGGGGCATTCCTGCTATAGCGCCTTCTGGCGGCAGCACGGACGTCCCGAATTATCACGCGTTTTGACCTGACAGCAAAGCTGCTTTAGGGCAAGTAAACCGAGCTCGGTAACATGGACACCCGGGAAAAATTACGAGGCGACCCACGCCTTCGAGTTACGCAGCACCACTCTACTCATAAACCAATAAAAGCAGCTATCAGCATACTCTTGGCAAGATCCAACATTTTGATTCCATGCCACTGCCCTACCAGCCGCCTTAACTGCCTGGCATAGCAGTTCGGTATTCTGTAGGCAGATGATCCCTCATTCTGACGTTTTCAGTCTTGATAAGAAGTAGGGGCGACCGCTGGGGCAAATGTTATTCACCTGACGTTTCGGATTCATGTTTTTAATTCTTCTAACTGCGGCTCAACAAGTCGATTACAGGGGGTTAAAGTGCGTTCACAACCGCTATAGTATGGTCCATTTTACCATAATTAGAAGTCCAACTGAAGCCACTGCATGAAAAGGAAAAACGCATAAGTAGGATCTAAGTGTATTTCATTGAAGACTGGGGAGATTGAAGTGACCAGTTCCGACTTGCTTGCCTCTCAAGGCCAATCATAATTCAGTCACAGGAGGAAAGCACTGGAAATGTGAACCCGGTTTCACGGCTTACTGAGAAATGATCGAAAATGTGCATGTATATGTAAGTACCGGTCCCACGAGACTGAATATTTGAGAATTCGGTGTCTACTCAATGCCAACTCGAACCCACAAGTCTGACAAGGGGACTATGGTGTGGACGGTTGATTATGACA